AAAAAAAAACAAGTCAATATAACAACAACCGGCCGGCTTCAAAGATATCCCATCAAACAAAAGGCATGAGCAAATTAAACTCTGTCTTAATCAAAGAGATATAGTTCTCTCTCCCTCTCCCTCTCTCTCTCTCTCTCTCTCTCTCTCTCTCTCTCTTTTACGTTTTAATTAAAGAATTATCTTTTTTTATTAACAATAACCGGCAGCAGTAGGGTTAATTCATTCACCAGACCACAAAGTCATTCGTTCTCACATCACACTATCATCGCCTACGACCATGAAAAAGCAGAGGCGGACGGCTGAAACAGAGAAGAACACCTCCGTAGCAATGGACGACGACAGAATATCGCAACTACCAATACCTTTACTTCACCACATCCTCTGTTTCCTCTCTCAGAAAGAAGCTGTGAGAACTTGTCTGCTCTCCAAACAATGGCGCCACATTGGAACAACCCGCCCCAGCCTCGAATTCTTCCAAGAATGGTTCGACAACACACAAGAAAAGGTTGTCTCCGTCAGGCGTTCCACACGATCAACTCGCCGCAACCTCAACTCTTACAAAAAAAATTTCAACAAAAACTTTGTCTCCGTAGTCAACCGAATCCTACAAGGATACCTTGATCAAAACCTCTTCATACACAAACTCCATCTCTGCTTACCCAGGCCCGACTCACGACCGGCTGTCTCCCTTATCGACAAATGGATCCGGATAATAGCAGCCCTCAACATAAAAGCTTTCAAACTCCATCTTTGGTATCTTCCGCCGTATTACAACCTGCCCTCGGCAGTCTTCTTATCCGAGTCCCTCGAAGAACTACACCTGTGCAATTGCAAGCTGAGCCCGGCCGAGAGCGTGCGGTTCAAACGTCTGCGCTCACTCACCCTGCATTCTGTCCAAGTTGATGGTGGGACATTGGAGACTAAAACGTTGGGATGCCCTTTGCTCAGGCGCCTGGCCCTTAATAATTGTTGTGAGTTGAGAAACGTAAGGCTGAGCGAGGCGCCTGAGCTCAAGCACTTTACGTTGTTTGATATCAAGATTATTGAAGGGCGTAGCATCGAAATCGATGTCCCGAATCTCGAGACAGTCTTTATCACTGGCCCATGGATTTGGTCTCACCGCCAAAGCACATTCTTGTTCTCTCGTCTCACCAGTTTGCATCTCTGTAATGTGATCCTGTCGGGCGAGTCGATCGACCTGTTATCGTTCGGCTGCCCGACTCTTGCAAGCTTGACCCTAAATAATTGCTCCGGTTTCGAGGAATTCCATCTTGCAAGTGATTCGGTCAAGTCATTGAAAATCTCGACATGCAAAATATTTCTTAAAGGAGTTACGATTTGTGCCCCAAACATTCTCAATTTTTGGTTAAGTGCCTGTATTCTCCAGACGCCGGAGACATTCTCTTTTATGACCACTAATTCCAAGGTGTGGTCCTCAAATGTATTCCTGTATTTGAGTGAGGTAGATCCCGATCTCGACGTCAATTCGTGGTTTCTTAAGCTGAGAGGAACGCTCAAGGCACTAAGTGAGTCTCAAATGTATCTGACTCTGCAGATAAACAACGGCCCTCTGGATGTGCCATGTGGTGCTGTTGACAACAGTCGTCTTCTCAATGACGAGCCGCCTATGGTGATGGAGAACTTGACATTTAGTACTTCTAAATGTCGAACGGCATCTTGGTACTCGGGCTTTACGAATGGTTTGTTCCGTGTTTGTCGACCGAGGAGTATATGGAGTGGTGTGTACCCGTCGGACAACCGGCTCTCAGAGTTTCAGTTCAACATCTTGCTTGCAAACATGAGCCTGGGGACCGAGCCCTACTTTTGGCAGCACGATTTGGAGCAAGTGTACGTGAACACTTTCGATGGGCAGCTCATTCAGTGGACGGACCTTTCAGAATTGCGAAACAGGACGTATGACAAGAAAATATGCCTTAAGTTGAAATGGAGAGGTCAGACGACGGCATAAGTATTGCAAACTTTTTCTAAATAACTGGTTTTCTTTCTCTCCAGTTGAAGGCCTAGGCCTATTTTGTATGCTGTGATAATGTTATGAAGTCAGGTCAGGATGCTTGATATACGAATGGTTGCAAAAAATTAAAAAATCAATGTAATAACAAGAACAAAAAAATGCTGCACGACTATAAATAGACTGACAAATAACGTTTTTTAGAATTTTTGAGGGCGATGATGGCTCATGGAGTCGGTCCCACTGCGTTCTTCTCTCGGCTCACTAATTTGTGTCTGTACAGATTGATCCTGTCAAGCAAGTTGTTGGACATATTATAAGTAATTGCTACGGTTTCAATGAATTTGATATTGTAAGTGATTCGATCAAGTACTTGACCCTTTCTACGAGTGACTCAGTTAGGAAAACTCGTATCCCCCATCTGGATGTATTCTCTTTCTTTACGACTACTTCCAAGTCGTAGGAGTCAAATATAAACCTCTGCTTGCATGTGCTTGAAGCTAAAATGAATGCTTGAAGCAATGAGCGAGCAGGGCCGTCTCAACAATTTCGAGGGCCCTTGGGCAAGCAAGACACTAAGGGCCCGACAATCTAATTAAAAATTGAATATAACAATTGGAGTATATAGTACTATTTATAAGAGATAACTTGCAATGTATATTTAGCCAATAAAAAAAGCAGTACATTTAAGAAGGTAAAACAATAGTAAAATTTTGGATACTTCAAATAAAGCTATGCTTCAATTCTTTTTAAAAATCTGCCTTCGAGCATTTCTTGATGCAAAATCTTCAAGAACAACATCAAGATCAATTTGATTCTGTTGATGTTATTGGGCTTAGAGGTTAAATTAATTATTACTTGAATTGGCCAATACATCTACTATACATGTATGGCAAAAATACACTACTACGAATCTGGGAGAGAGGAATAAAGTTTATACGATAGAAAGTTTTATATACCAAATCCATACTTGTGAGTGTATTTCTCTGCCACTAAAACGAGAGTTAAAATAAAAAAAGGCAACTCAGCGAGGAAAAAAGGCAACTGACCGAACTGATTTAATGCTTGCAATTCAATATGTAACTAGCATCACAGGTTTGACAAATATTAGTATTATATTTGATGTTTATGTTAGATGCCCTTCTAAGTAGAAGACAAATTAAGAGTTTATTTAAAGTATATTATATGTGTTTTACAGGTATATATATATATATGTGAGACATATGGAAAAAGATTCCAATCACAATTTTTTTAATGCTATATCAACATGCAAATATCCAAACTAAATAATTTTGTCAAATAACAAATGTTTTAATTATATTAAATTTATGTAAGGCATATACCGCCAAATTTATTAATAGTATATATACTTTGCATATAAATTGACCAATATGTAAAGATTTGACAATCGTAACATAAACTATATATGAACATACGATAAACAACTTTTATATACATAATAGATGAAGTACAAAAAGAAAAATACAAAAATAATAACAATAAAAGCTATTAACACCTTTTTTTACAGTTACAACTACGCATATATATAAGTATGATGAAGTACAAAAGCATTTGTCTATATATGAGACCTCACATATACCATGCATAAATATATCATAAATTTTACAGAAGGAGATGGTAGT